CTGTCCCTTTTAAAAATATTGACAAAAATTTTATTTTATCACTCTCATTCCATCTATTAATTTCACTTGCCTTTTCATACTTCCTGAAAAATTTTCTTACGTCCTCAGTACCCGAAAAATAATCTGGTTTCATCAACCAAGATCGGTTATTAGACTCCATACTAGTAATATTTGAATTTATTGTTTCTATGCAATTAGTTAATGAAAGTAAATCTAAAATTTTTCCCTCTGTTAAGTTATTACGATTACCCGGTGTTTGTTCTTCTTTAAAGGTTCTATTTAAATCGTCTATATCTTCATAAAAATGTTCTTTACCTGAACCCTCTAATTTATTTTGATCACCCGACGAAGCGTTATTAATATTATTATAAAAATGATCCGGTTTTGTAATATCGCTAGTATTCGCGTAAGAATGATTTTTTTCTTCAATAAGGATGTCTGATAACTTTTCCCCTATACTTTCAAATTTACCTTCTACACTTGGTTCTACGTTACTCTCTACAATTATTAGTTTATCATTAGAAGAGGCATGAATAACTTGCTCAATTTCAGCTGGACTTAAGTTAGGTTTTATATCTGACAATTTAAGTTGCGCTCTAAAGTATCTAGCTAAACGTGTTCTTAAGTCATTTACGTTTCCTAATTCGTCTAAGTTTTTACTTTTACACAAATTTATAAGATCATCTTTTTTTAATGAATATATATCACTAATTTTGTTTAATTTAAATTTTTGAATTTCATTAATATTCATAATAAATCATAATAATTAAGTAATCAAATTAATATTCTAGAAAGTCGAAATTAATTTTTATTAAAATTATTGAACTTTTTTTTTCTTATTTTATTATTAAAAAAAACAATAAGATGTTTATATATAAAAAAAATTTGTATAATTATAAAATTAAATTAAAACTTAGATCTTTTAAAAATGTGTAAATGGTTTTTTGTTTTTGTGGTCAGTTCATTAAATAGGTCAGTCAATTGTGATATACCGTCGTCTAAAATATTAATGAGTTCCTGGTCAGAAAATATTATGTCAAAAGCAAATGTATCTAATTCTGAATTAGTATTATCCCCAAAAATTTCTTTTAATTTCTCCTCTATGTCCTCAATATTACTCATATTATAGACATATGAGAAATTATAAATACACACACAAAAAAATTTTTTTTCTCTGGGAAGATTTTTAAATTACTAAAATTTAATAACTAAATAAAATTATTATATATATATAAATATATTTTGCACTAACCTCGAGTCTTCCGGTTAAATGTTTCAAGTAATCCTTGTATTGTAGTGATCGACGGTTCAATTTATTGACGCGAAATTACACGCACACACAAATTTCGATGCCACGAAAAAACTTCGAGGGGTCGTGTCGGTACGAACCTCGAGTTGGGCGCCAATTTTATGTCGTACGTCGGTAGTACCCCAACGTAGACACAAAGGTTTACTAAAGTTTTATGTATATATATATTGACGATGAGTTCGCCGTTCGAGCTCTTCCCGAGTCCTCCCGTTGGATAAACTGATCAGCCCCAATCTCTCTAATTAGTGGACCACTAAAGGGGTAGAGTTTAGACCCGTCAGCACGGTCTAGCTCAAAAGTAGCAGACTGAAGGGTGGCTCCTTGTCAGCCACCAGCACAACTACCTTTTTACTATACCCACTAAAGGACGGTTAAGCCCAAACACTAGCCAGCTCGTACACTAATTATTAAGATTGACTAAAGGACCAGCAGTCCAACCTAGACTCTAGCCGCACACACACACACACACACACACACACATTTCGATATCACCGTGAAAATAAAATATTGCGCTAAGTCAAGATTTTTAAATAGCTATTTTATTTACGAAAAGTATTAAACACAAAAGTCAAATATAATATAACACAAAAATTAATTAAATCTTACAAAAAGTATATAGTTATTCTTACGTCAACAACCTAACCCGCAACTCGACGTTTCTTCGACAAAAACGTCCAGTCTCGTCTCGCTCAGTATCGTCCCGTGTCGACCCCCTATACTCTTCATGTTTCCCTTTTATATTCTTTTTCCCACCATTATTAATTTGCTTACCCTGCATTTCCCTTTTATATGGAATTATTTTATTGCTTAGGAGTTTAAAAATTGCTTACTACTATGTAAAACTTATATTATACTAAAATCGATGTAATTCAATACTTCCTCATATATTTACTACAGAACGTTCGAACATTATGAAATATAGATCATTAACGACGAAAATGTAATAAATTACAAATAATAAAGAAATTATGGTAACATCGGCCTTTGAATATACTATCAAACTTAATATAAAAATTCCAAAATAATGATTATTTTGGCTCAGATGTTACTCTAATGGTGTTCAGAATGCTCTCTTTCGGTCAGTGACGTTGAGACGCAGTTAGTTATTCTCAAAGTTTATCAGCAAGTTCATAGCGATTAGCCCATTTTACACTTTGTTTTCCTATCGAAGTATATGCCAGAAGTGATTCGCTATGTCTACGTTACATTTGCTTACGAAAACAACATATATTAATTTCAGAGTATTTATTAGATATATCAAGATAGGAAACTAATAATTTCACCAAAAATATATAAGGTTTAGAATTAAATTTTATGAGTTGACATTAAGTAGGCACAAAGAAAAATCAAGTGATTATCAGTAATACAAAGTATAACAAGTAATTTTAATAAATCGATAATGTTTATACAATATATTGGACAGAGTTATACTATTGATTCGTGTCTATTTCAGAAGTGACAAATAATTACAATAAATCTTTTATTAATAAAATGGAGATCAATTTATTGTTCTATAATTTTCTATTTTTCTTACAAACCCTCATACTCATACCCTGAGTAATAGATAAATAATTAATAAATAGAAAAATACAATAAAAATAGTAACTCGGCTCAACCTTTCATTTTTATTTATTTTATTATTTCTTTTTAAGTTACTACGATAATTTCAGTCCTTTATTCACTGTTACCTAATTAAGAAAAACAAATTTTAACTAAAAAATGTAAACTTAATGGTCGTTTTTTATAAAAAAAATGCTTAATTGATTTTATATTATTTTTGTTATTAATAATAATTGATTTTACTAATGATAACTGTCATTTATGTATATAGTTTTACATGTATAGTTACGTGTATTAAAAGGGAAAAATGTTTCGTATTTTTAGATTTTTGAAAACTATCAAACAGCGAGTTGTTAAAAAAAACTTATAATTATTTAAATTAATATAACAAGCAAAGAGTAATTGGAAATAATTTAAGAGTAATTTATATAAAAGTAAGATATTATATTTTATTTTATAAGAGTAATTTATATACTAATTGATATAAGAGGGAATATAGGCGAAGCGTCAATCCTGGATGATGAGAGAAAGTAGACTTAGATGGTTTGGTAATGTTATGAGGAGAGAAGAATCGGAAGCCGTTAGAACAGTTGTAGAAATGAATGTTGAAGGAAGAAGATATAGAGGAAGACCAAAAAAGAGATGGAGAGATGTTATTGAATGCGATATGAGGACAGCTGATGTGAGCGTAGAAATGTGGGAGATCGTGTCAAGTTGCAGTTTAGGATAAGGGTGGCCTACCCCAAGTAGTTGGGATTAAGGCAAGGAAGAAGAAGAACAAGCAAAAAGTAATTGCATAAATTAAACTTCTAAATCTTGGTATTGCTTATTTTATTTATGAAAAGTATGTACTATACATTGTTGCCTCGTTGTACAAAATAACATAAAAATCATACATTTATTACAAAAAGTAAATTACCTTTTTGAAGAAAATCATAATAAGCTGGATTCGTTGCTGGAGATGTTTTGGATTCATTGACTGTTTCTAAATAAAAGTTATTAGAAAAATATTTAAATGATTACTTTTTTTTATTTACTGTTATCTAATAATACAAAATATATATTTTAAACATAACAAGCAAAGAATAATTGCATGAATTAATCTTCTAAATCTCGGGTTTGCTTTTTTTTATTAAGGAATAGTATATATAATATTAATTTTATTTAATAAATATAAGGTTTGAAGTTTTTTCGATCACATTTGAAAACATTATGTAAGATTACAGTATTTTATAGCTTCGATGCGAAGCTGAGAAGGTATTAATTTTACAATCATGTATATATTTTTTTATTTTTGTCTGTCACTACTTTTTCTCAGCTCTATCTAAATCGATTTTTCTAATCGATACGTTAAAAGATCACAAATCGTTTCTAGTTGACGACATTACCCTCAATAGTTAAAAATTTTCCCCTCGTTCCCCGTAAATGGTGAAAATCCCTAAAAAATTATGATTTTATAAATCGTTAAATTTTGACCTTTTTTCTAAAAATTGCCATAACTTATTAAAAAATAAACAAATTAAAATAAATTATTTTATACTGAAATCTTAGTATTTACCCTTTCATTTGATATTAGTTTTTTGAAAATCTGACACTTAACCTGCTCACAGGAGGGAATTAAAATAGCAACTTTTTTGCTCAAATTTTACAATTTAACTTTTAAAAAAGTTCCGGAAATACGGCGTCCTTTAAACATATATCAAATTAAAGCTTATGTCATGCAATATAAATAAAAAAAAAAAAAATCCCCCGACGACCTATCTTCTATGTGCAAATGACCATCAAAATTGAACAAAATATGTATTTTTCGTGTAAAAAATCAATGTTAATTTGAAATTTAAAACTGCCATAGCTTTTTGAAGAATGAACAAACGAAAATAACTTTTTTTAATATAAAAATCTTAAGTAATTTCCTTTTCTTCTTCTTTTCTCCTATTAACATTATTTCGTCGAATTTAGGAAAAATATGTATAATATTAATATTATTTAATAAATATAAGGTTTGAAGTTTTTTCGAACAAATACATTTGAAAAAATTGGTAAAATTACAGTATCTTTTTTAAATAATTTTTGCCTCGCTGTACAAAATAACGTAAAATTATGTATACATTTAGGTATTTTGTAAAGCTTAATTATTTATTTTAAAAAAATTCTAATATGGCATAAAATGTGTATTTTTATTTAATAGAAACGATCAATATATGAAGATCAATACTGTAAGTCTGTAGTTTTAATTTAGAGAAATTTCAACAAATATATGTGATGCAGAAAATAGATATTGGAATGAGCCACACAATTATTTTTTGGGACCAAAATTTTAGACTATGAACAAATAATTTACCTTTATGAAGAAAATTATAATAAGCTGGATTCGTTGCTGGAGAAGTTTTGGATTCATTGATTGCTTTTAAATAAAAGTTATTAGAAAAACATTTTCAAAGATTACTTAGTTTTTTATTTATTGTTATCTAATGATATTATCAATTATTTTTCTATATCATTTTATTTTTCATCGCTATAATTTTTCTGTATATTACATCCTCGTCAATACTACAGTTCTTTTGCTAACTGATCCTAAATAATTAAAACTTTCCATCTTTATCACGTCCTAATTTTTTGAAACTGATCCCCTCAATTATACGTACCTCATGTTCTTCTTTGTCAAACTCGTACTTAATATTTAATAAAAAACTGGAATTGTAGCTAAGGAGGTTTTGGATTGACCATATGTTTCTTAATACAGGTAAATATATAAATATTTTAGCAATTAAACATTTTTAGTGTTTTAGTTACTGTTACCTTATAAAAAAATATAATTTAAAACATGTTACCTTATAATCATATATTTTTACCAATAAAATGAAAACCCATTGATTCTTTTTTTTTATGAATTAGATCAATTTTTATTTAATTTAATTTTTGTTAAATTATAATATGATATACTTTTATATAAAGTCTAGAATAAAATATATACATTTTGGAAATTTATGAAATTTTTTTGACATTTTTATATATTAAAATAATGTAAGCTAATTAATTTATTATTTATCTAAAAAAGATAAAAAGTAAAATATAATTTTACATGATAATAAATATAGATAAACAAATTATGCATAGTAATTTATTACTGTATTTATTTTAATTCTACCGATAATTGTTAAATTTATATTTAAATGGTATTAGCTTCGATGCGAAGCGGAGAAGGTATTAATTTTACTAAGATGTGTTTTTTTTTTTTTTTGTGTCTGTTGCCACTTTTTCTCAGCTCTCACTGGACCGATTTCTTTCAAAAATACGTCAAAAGATCACAAATCGTATCTAGTTGAAGACATTACCCTTAAAAATTGAAAAAAATTCCCTCGTTCCCCGCAAATGGGGGAAATATCCAAAAAAATTACAAATTTAAAAATCGCTAATTTTCGAAATTTTTTCACTTTTTTTTCTTAAAACTTCCATAACTTTTTGAAAAATCAACAAATCAACATAATTTTTTTTTATACTAAAACCTTAGATATTTACCTTTCATTTGATATCATTTTTTTGAAAATCTATCACTTAACCTGCTCATTGGGGGGGATTTAAAATGGCAACTTTTTTACAAAAATTAATTTTTTCAACTTAATTTTTGAAAATGTTCCGGAAAGACTGCGTCCTTTAAACATATATCAAATTAAAGCTTATTTTATGTACTACAAAATGAAAAAAAAAAATTTGTCCCGACACTTTTTTTTCTACATTTAAACGGCTGCCGTAGTTAAAAAAACACTATTTTTGTGTTAAAATTTTCGATTTTCGATTTTAAATTTTCAACTTAAAAATGCTATAACTTTTTGAAAAATGTATATATCAGCACAAATTTTTTTTTTCTAAATACATTATAAGTACATCTTTCATTTGACATACTTTTTATTAAAATTGGACAATTTCCCCTTATATAGGGGGCGTTCAAAACTTAAAATATTGTAAAAAACATAGATCTTTTTCAACTGAACTTTTGAAAATGTTCCGGAAATACTGCGTCCTTTAAACATATATCAAATCAAAGGTTATGTTATATACTATCAAATGAAAAAAAAAAATTTGTCCCGACATCTTATCTTCTATGTGCAAATGGCTGTCGAAAATTTAAAAAAAAATGTAATGTTTGCGATAAAAATTACATTTTATCGGGATGTTTTTTGTACTTAAAACTGCCATAACTTTTTCAAAAATGAACAAATAAAAATAATATTTTTTTGTATTGAAACCTTAGATATTTCCCTTTCATTTGATATAATTTTTTTTGAAAATCTAACACTTATTCTGCTCACTGGGAGGATTTAAAATAGTAACTTTTTTACAAAAAATAACTTTTTCAACTTAATTTTTGAAAATGTTCCGGAAATACTGCGTCCTTTAAACATATATAAAATTAAAGCTTATTTTATGTACTACAAAATGAAAAAAAAAAATTTGTCCCGACGATCTATCTTCTATACGCAAATGGCTACCATATTGAAAAATATACTATTTTTGTATGATAATTATGGGTTTTGTATTTTATTTTAATAGAAGTTGATGTTGCTTTTGCAATTATCCATCAATTTTTTAAAATTAAACACTATCTACAGATTTGCATCGAAGCGTTTCTTATGATAGTGATTTTAATCACTGTCAGATTAAATCTATACTGGACCCTACTATGCAATGTCTCCACTATGCCGCGACCCCACTGTGCTACCGTTTTTTAAAATGTCAATTATTTTTATGCTATAGTTAAATTATAAAAAAAAATGTTGGTAAAATTTGATTAATTCTAGTTATTGTATTAATAAATAAATAGTTAACATCTTCACACATTTATATTTTTTATAATAAGCTCAAATCATACATAAGATTGTATATCATTGTAAATTATGCAATTATAAAAAAAATATTTTAAATATAAATATTTGTTAGAAATAACTCATGTTATCCTAAAAGATATTTCAAAATCAAGGACGATCAAAATACACGAAAATATTTAGAATAGCCTTCTTATTAAATCTGTGGTTTATTCTAAAAACAAATCACTATATATAAGTACTGTAATAAGCTTACCTTTTTGAAAAAAATCATTAAAATCTGGATTCGTAGCTGAAGAAAATTTTGAATCATTGTTTGTTTCTAATGTAAATAGAAAGATATTTCAGTATTTAAATATTTTCATTGTTTTAATTACTTTTTTTTTTCTTTAGATTAATACGAGATATTTAAATTCTTTTTGCTTTTAAATCAAGATAAAAAAAAAACCCCCAGCACACGTGGCATAGTTGGGTCAAGTATAATGATATCAGTCGGTTATTATAATTACTATCATAAATAACGCTTCAATGCAAATCTGTAGATAATATATATATATATATATTATACAATTATTCATTGTGATTTATTAAAATATCTATTAATGTTCCATCAATACTTGTTAAATTAATTTTTTGGTGTATATATACATTTAAAAAACTAATTAAAATATCACTTATCATATTTTTATGTTATAAGAAAATGAAAAAAAAAATTTAGGTAAATTTAATTAATTTTAATAATTGTATGGATAAATGGAGCTATGGATTAATGTATAATTATTCAAGGCATACATTTTTAAGTATTGAGTATATTATGATATTGTATAATATATTTCGCAATTAAAAAAATAAAATTTTAATTTAAACACTAAAAAAAAGTCATATCTTCTTAAAAGAAAACATTAAATCTAGGGCAATCTAAAGACACGAAAACAAATAGAATTGTTCATTAAGTAACTACATCTTTAATTTATTCTTAAATAAGAAACTTCATTTGATATCAAAAATAACTCATTTTACCAATTATATCATATTCAGAGATAAATATGTACCTTTTAATTGATGATCTAATGAATCTCTAATGAATGTTTCTCCAGTGTTTGAATTAAATTCGAAACCTAGTTCAGTAAAATTTTCTGTATTTAGCATTTTTATTCCATTTAATATAATTTCATTGCCAGAAATATAAAGTTGTATAGTTTCTTCGTTCACAATTTGTTTATTATATTCGACATTAAATTTTGGCATAAACAAAAAACTAGTTTCAGATTCCAATCTACAATAACGGTCGATTTCACCTCTTATTCCATTTCTAATCTGGATTATTTTGTTATCTATATTATTCAGTATTTCACAATTGTCTTTCAAATCATTGCATGAGGCGAAATAATTATTTACTTGCACTTGTAAATTTTGGAACACCTGAAATACTACTTTTAACATAACGGCACTTGTATTCAACTGCAATTGAATAGTATGTAGTTTGTCTATAGCATTTAAAGCTCCATGCATTTTTTTTGTGAATAAAGTTATATTGGATATAACATCTAAGAGTTTTACAATGAAATTGTGACTTTGTGATTTATAAAATTGATTATTCATTATTTCTTTACAGAATTTTTGTTGATATTCAACAGATTGTACTATGTCAATTAAAATACTTGCGTATGTGCAACCTAGGAAAATTGTTGCACCTCGTATTTTTTTATTACAAGTTTCTGTTACTATTTTCTCTTTAATGATACTCGATAGATCATATATTTTATTGAAGTAAGTTACATATTTTACATACTTTAAATTTTTCCATCCAACACATTTAAAAAGATTATTCATAATACGAGTATTTCTTTGTGTATTTCGATGTGATTGTATGCATAAGGCCACACAAAATAATAACAGGCTCTTTGAAACAAGCTTTAAAGAAGCCATTTTTTAAAAAATGTTTTAATAATGTTACTTAAATAATTAAAATAATTATTACGGTATTTATAAACTGTTAAAAAGAATTCTGATTCCAAATATAGTGTTTACTCATAATAAAAACGTCATATGGTAATTGAAAAAAATTATAATTTTTATCATTTTAGCAATAACAACTTAGAATTGCTTTATTCTCCCAATAATGATGTTAAAAATTTTTCGAAATACCTGATTTCAAAAGGACATTTTTAAAGGTTTACGAGTTCGTAACACATCACCGTTTTAAGTGAAATTTATACAACCTATTTTTTACAACTTTATTATTTACCAATTATAAACTAATCTACTTTTCTTGATCATTCTCTTTTATATGATTTAATTGTATCTCTTCTTTTATTTCTTTCTTACTTAATTTTAATTTAAATAAAATTATTCATAAAAACTTTGACTACTTAACTTACACTAGTAAATAAAATTAATAATAATGAAATATGAGTTTCCGTTGATGAATATTTTTTTTTTATGTTTTCTTTTTAAAATTGTAGCTCATTTAACGTTTTAGTATACTTAGAAATGTCTCTTAAATTAGTTTTTACGTTATCATTTAAATTAATAATATCTTCTGCTTTTAATTTTTTAAGTTTAGTTTGTATGTCAAAATTTGTGTTTAAATTAATGTATAACTTTAATTATAACTTATTTTTACATATTTTAAAATACAATCTTTTGTATTAACAAAATATTGTATGTAGTTGTTGAAACAATTTACCATGACATAAATTACCCATACTAAAAATTGTAATAAATAAAAAGAAATAAAAAAATAGAAGTTAGAAAGGAAAAGAAATGTAACGCAGGTGGCCAATGAGGAAAGAAGAGTTGTAGCGGGCGTAGTATAAAGAAGGATGGGCAGCAATGGAAAGTAAAAGTGGCTAAAGGTACCCCGGGCAGTGACTATAATAAAATGAAATAGAAAGGAATCTCGGGGTATGTATGCTTGCGTGAAAACGTCTAATATATGAATAAGATGGAATAACAAAGAAGGGTCACTACCTATCTCCTGCACAGTAACGCGTACACGAATTTCTGGCGAGTCACAAGTATCGTATTTCCTTATAAAAGTATTTTAGTTCATTATCAATGAATATAAATTATAAAAGTTCTTCAGTAAAGGATTTATCATAGACTTATTGTATAAATAAATGTTTTCACTTACCTCTGACTATCCTGATAAGACAGGTATTTTCTTGAGATGAATGATGTAGTTGATGTAACAATTATCGATATATACGTATATGCATCGGTGTACGCATTTAAAATTATACGGTTTATGTTATTATTAACTCGCGTGTAACTACTTTTCTAGTACAATTCTATATTAAATCTATCCAAGGTGAAACCTAAGTTTGTTATAATTCTGGTTTATAATGTAAAACCCTTTTGTATATTTATGTGATATAGTCTTAACCTTGTGTGTGGTGTTTTACACTAATGTATTTATTATTTAATAATTTATAAAAACAATAAAGAAATTCTAAACAACATAACTGTCCTGTGCAACAAACTATTTCCAAGTGGCTTACGTCTTTTCAGTCGTCCAAAGAGTGATCTAGGGTAGATGCGAGCTCAATTTCCGTTTTTTGCACAATAGATTATACTAGTGTCCTACACTTCGATTGCCCGCACTGTGGCAGAGATCAGACTGGCTAGTCGATAAGTGAAGAAACACTTTTTAGTTGTTTAGGTGATTAGTATAATATTTCGACTCTGATTTATTTGTATTTCGTAGCTGGTTATACCAACGTAAGATCTCAAATAATATCTTTGTCTTTATGCAAAGACCCTTATGATATGTGGCCTACTTCTTATCAATCACCCGTGGGACGACCTAGGTTAGATGCGACTGTACTATAGATTTATGCACGATAAGTTATGTTAGTGTCCTACAATCCGATGGCCCGCACTGTGGCAGAGATCAGACTGGCTAGTCGATAAATGGAGAGACACTTTGGAGAAATCTTGTGATCAACTAAAATTTTAATTATGATATTATTGTACTAGTACCCTGTCCAGCCAGGTTGTGGNTTATGATATTATTGTACTAGTACCCTGTCCAGTCAGGTTGTGGCACTTCAATAAGTAATAGAACACAATGCAATCTAGTCATATATTTTTTTAGTATGTTTATATAAATATGTAGATAAAAAAATAAATAAATACTAATATTTTATATGTGTTAGAATATTTATATCACCAAAAGTATTCGACCGAAAATAAGATGTATAATATTTCTTGTAAATCCCAGTAATAATAAAAGAACACCCAAATTTGGGGGATATTAGGGTATAATTTGGGGGATATTTAATGATATTAGGGTGTTATATACGCACTATGTATTGTGGAGTTTTAATGTTTATTAAATTTTGGATTTCATACGAATACTGATTAATTATTTACAATATAATTTTTTCTATCAATTCGTTTTCATATTGTAGGATTACCGTTTTTCGAACAGTAGTGTTTACTTCTCAAAACAAGTAATTATACTTTACTTCTAAGCTGATTTTTGATAGATAAATGACGAATTTACGTTTGAGACTGTTGACTACATTATATTAGTCTGTGATTTTGATGTATCACTTGATATCTTGAGCGTTCAAGTTTCATGATTTTCTTGTAAAAATATTCAGCATCGGTAACATTATATACACCAAATAACAAACTGGCAGCCCGTTCAATGATGTTCATTAATTCCCTCTTATGTATGGGACTGCTCTAACATTTTGAATACTAGGCTTCGCCTAGCTGGGGCTCTACCCTCGATCCGGTACCCTGCGAGGCGTCCCTCCAGGTAGGCCACTGATTCCAAGTACACGGCACTCCGGCACGATATGTGATGTGTAAAAAAAATATAACTTCAAAAGCAGTTTACCAGAAAATCAGTCTTACTCGTAAATGCAATGATTATTAAAAAATAATAATACGAATACAAAATACTTAGGTGTATTCATATACATAATAGTTCAAATTTTAAAGTTATTTTTCTCGACTTCAAATAAGCAAACAATTTATATAAGTTTAACTTTCTATGCTATATCAATTATTTATTTATATAATATTTATGAAAATCTGTAATCTCCTTGTCAGGTATTTTAAAATAAAATACAAAACCCAGGATTAAAATTGAACACAAAAATAGCATATTTTCAACACTTTCAAAAATTAAATTGAAAATGTCCTAGTTTTAGTACGCCTGTTTAAAGTTTTAACCCCCCTTGTATAAAGGAGTATGATCCGATTTACAAAGAAAGTGCGTCAGATGAAAGGGGTATATAAAAATTTATTATAAAAAATAATAATATTGATCCATACATTTTTCCAAAAGTTATAGCAATATAAATTTAATAATATAAAATATAAAATCGAGAATTTTTTCACAGAAATCGTACGTTTTTCTTTAACTTTGATGTCCATTTTCACCACGAAGACAAGTCCAGAGGTCATAATTTTTTTTCAAATTAAAGTATATTACATTAGCTTTAATTTAAAGTATATATAAAAGTGTTAATATTTCTGGAACATTTTCAAAAGTTAAGTTGAAAAAGTTAATTTTTTGTAAAAGAGTTACCATTTTGAAACCCTTCCTGTGGGCTGTTAAAGGGTCAAATGTTCACAAAAATATATAAAATAATAGTTAAATATGTAAGGTATCTATAAAAAAAATTATATTAATTCGGCAATTTTTAAAAAAGTTATGGCAATTTTAAGTAAAAAAAAATTGAAAAAATGTCGAAAATTAGCGATTTTTAGATTTGTAATTTTTTGGGGGATTTCCCCCGTTTACGGAAAACGAGGGAATTTTTTTCAATTTTTGAGGATAATGTCTTTGACTAGATACGATTTGTGATTTTTTGACATATTGTTCATCAAAATCGGTCCAGCGAGAGCTGAAATTGAGCGTTCACAGACACACAAAAAAAAAAAATAAATAAAAAAACACATCATAATAAAATTAATACCTTCTCAGCTTTGCATCGAAGCTAATAGTTAAAACAAGCAAAAATATTATTTTAAAACTATTACTGATTTTGATTATTAATATGTTAAAATTAAGTAGTGCAATATATAATTTTTAACCTATTATTCTGGTTCTTTAAAGTTGTCTTTTGTGAAAGTTTATAATAAAAAAAAAGTATTAATTACCTCAACTTTTAGCTCAACTCTCAAGTTTGAAATTGTCATAATTAAATAGAAAATTTTATGAGAATTAAAAAAAATTGTATTGTAAATATAAATATGCAGTCAGGAAATTTTACAATTATTATTTACAGTAAATTTATCAGAAAAGCTCAATATTTTTTCGCATTTTTATCATAATAGATAATAGAATCATTTCTAAGTAACTCTTGGTGTTTAAAAAGATGTTACAATTGAAATATTCAGAACTTGATTAATTTTAGTGATTTACTAATAATTAAAAAAACCAATCAAAATTTTCTTCAAAAAATCTACTCAATCCAACGTATTATAAAATTTGTTTATAATTGTAAAAATTTTTTGTTAAATTCAGGTGAATTTTTTTTAGATCTATGATTTATATAGTAATGTTACCAAAAAAATGGGAATATTATAGACTGGAAGTTTTACAGACAAATTGATTAATTTAAAAATTAATAAATGACAAAGTAAAATGATTTAATTTTATAGTTGAAACCTATTATAATATCAAGTAAAATTAAAACTATATTAAAAATATTATTAATTTAAAAACTAAAAAATATTAAACTCAAAAGCCACATAAAATTACTGAAAAGTCGCCGATACGTATTTCGGAAACAATGTTACCATTATTAAATTTAAATAACTTAAAAATCAAATGATTTGAAAATTTTTTCTAACTAAAAAAATGCAACAGGCGCATTCGAACGTCGTACCGTAAGCGTGAGAAACCCAAGTGTTATCGATACGGCAACTATTCGTCGCTTTTTTATCGATGAATTTTATTAGAAATTTAAGCTAATTC